GTGACCATAGGAGATGTCTAAGAGACTCAGGTGGGTTCCTGTTGATGCCAGAGCTTGCTAAGGTGCAGCACAGTAGCCTGGTTCCCTCGATCTGTGATGCTGTACCTTCTCCCTGTTGTCATTCAGTGTAGAATGATGGTGATGACTCGAGGCAATGAGATCCTTGATTCTGAAGAAGCACAGTGGGCGAGTCTCCTGGAAAATTTTACTTAGTGATACTGTTATTCTAATTCTTTTCTTTTTTGAGGTTGAATGTATAGAATTTTATTTCAAATATTATGAGTTGTATAAATTTATATATGACTCAAATTTATATACAACTCAAAATATTTGAAATAAAATTCTATACATTCAACTTGCCCCCCCCTCCCCCCGCCCAGCATCATCCCATGATACCGAATAAGCCCCAAATTAAAGCTGGAGCAGAGCAGGCACAATTTAGGTCTTTATCTTGTTCCTTCCTCAGCCTCTGACTTCCTATAAGGTTTATCCTTTGTCTTTTTTTTTTAATTCATTTTTTTATTATCCAAGGAATTCATCTCATTTTTGTATTATCCAAGGAATGGGATTTACCAGAAAGAACTGAAAGGAATTCGTGAAGTGCTTTGAACTTTTGAATGCTTGATGGATTTAAGAGTATTGGTCATTTTTACCTTATTTATCTAAACAACACTATGCACAGATTTTCCAACCCTTATTATAACAAACCAGGCAATGCCCTGACTGTTACCAAATTAGCATAACAGTCTTAAGTCCTAATGCTTTGATGGGAGTTAAGGTGCATGAGAGAATGTTCAAAGCCACTTTTGCTATTGGCTGAGACACAACAAGCAGAACCTCCGATGGACAAGAAAAATGTTGGGCTAAGTGACAGGCAATTATGTCAAGGTGCCATTTCCTCAAGAAATTGACCCGGTAAGCTTTTGGCTTGGATAAGTAATTTAATAGGCATTTGTTTTCTTAGCATACAGCAGCACTGAGAAGTGTATTGAAATAACCTTCACCCATCCTTTCCAAATCTGAACTACTCTGAGTTGGAACATATTTTCTCTAAGGAAAGTTGGGTTGACATTAAATCACACATGTCTGAAATTATCTCTGAGTCCTTTATAAACAAACCAGGACTTGGAAGGGCACACCTTCGGTTACAGAGTGTTTTCCTGGGCTGGGCTCCAAAGCTTCCTGACTCTTGAACAATAATATGTTCTTTCCATGCTACTTTACGTATTTATTTTACAGAAGCTTTGTACCTTTTGTTCATTCATATCCACTTTGAAAGCATACTTGTGTCCTGCAGGAGCAGAGGTACAAAAATTGTGGAGTAGTTTCAGTTTAAAGGCTTCGCGGAGTATGTGCGCTAAGAAAATGAGGGGATTTCTCCTCTTTCTCTTCCAACCTCCTCCTGTCTCTTACCCTTCCTCTACCTCTTTCTTTTTAAAAAATAATCATGAGCATGTGGTGTGTTTGTTTGCTTGTTTGTTTTGGGGTTTTTTTTTTTGGTCATATATTTGTAAATATTTTGTCAGGCATTCTCGCCTGGGATTTCAAACATCCTGACATCCTGATAGGGGAAAATTGGGTATTTCTTCTTAAGATAAATTCCTTAAAGAGAGATTTGAATAGTTTTGACCTTTGAATTTCCTTTCAGTTTTCTTACTGGGTTAAAAATGTTACATTTCTGGTTATGAGGCAGAACCAAACCTATAATTTGTGATAATAGTTGAAATATGTGATTGGAATTCACATTCTCAGTTTAATAGTGACAGTTTATTTTAAACATAAGATGTCAGAGCTGGAAGAATCTTGGCTGTTGTCTGGCTCAGGATTTTTTCTGATTAGAGGAAATGGAGATGCAGAGCTATAAAGTGACTTCTCTAACATCACACAGCAAGTTACTAGTAAAACTGGGAGTTGTCTGGTTTACCTGACTCCAAAGCAGAGCTTTACTCCAACAATTGAAAAACAGAGCTCAGTGTGATTTAACTTTTCACATCATGAAAATGTCCTCTAAGTGCTTAAACTCTAACAGTTTTGGGTGAAATCGTTCTAATGTACTTTATCTTCTGAAATCTTAATTTGACTGTGTTGAAGGTAATTTAATTTGGGGAGGTTTTGGGGAGGTGGTCTCCAGTTGCCTGGTACCTGGCCCTTGGTGACTGAGCATGTTTCAAGTAGGGGCTGAGTGTGTGAGTTCGATCAGGAGATGGTTCAGCATAAGGGCTCTGGGTCACGGGAGAGATGGAAGTCAATTTGACTGTTGATTTGCCCTATAATTAACAGATGCCAGGACACCTTCCCAGTCTCACTTTACTTTATTTGATTTTGTGGTTAACTAAGAAACCACTTAACCAAATCTGCTGGAAGGTGTATATTTTATGTATATTTTCATAGACAGATATCTAGAAGAGTGGGTACTTTTTATGTGAGTGGTAAAGTCTGGTGTGAATTTTTGCTTTTATTTATTTATTTTTGCTTTTTTGTAATATTGGATTGTTTCAAGCTAAGACTACATATTTTTAAGAATTAGAAACCATGCTGTGTTACTTGGAAATACAATGTGCGTACATGATGGTTAAATACTTTGAGTGGGGACTTTCTAGCCCTCAGACCATAATCCATTTTCTTCTTCTAACCTGGAAGGTTCTGTGGCATAATTCTACCTGTGTTTTAAACCAGGCCCAAGTCACCTTCACTGTGATGTCATTGTCTCAATAGCCAGTTCTGACCCTTCTCAGCTCAGTCCCCAAAGCATTTTTTGTATTTTCTGTTGGGCATCTTCTGTTTTTTTTTTTTGTTTGTTTGTTTGTTCGTTTCTTTTATGTACATTGTCTTTATCCTACCAGTCATCATCTTTTATTATTTTATGTCTTGTCTATAGTGTCTAGTGCTGAGCCATACCCTTAGTAAGCACCCAAGTGCAAATATTTGTTGGCACATTTATATTGGCTTTTTATTTGTCATTGTTGTCCATTTGCTGGATTTCACATTTGTCATGATGATTGAGGCTGTCTGCTGAGTGCTTCTAGGAATGTAAGAAACTGCTTTGTAGGTAATACATGGGAATGCATCCAAATAGATAATGTGGGGCTGCCCCCAAAACACAGTGGTTGAGCGTGCTGCACAGAGGAAGCCAGATTCCATACGGCAGACTAGAGTTTGAGTCCTGGTCCCTGGCAGCTAAAATTGCACCAGTGGTGGTATGTCCGGGATCCTGATAGGATGGAGAACAGAAGGAAAAAGGATTGCAGTATGAACAGCTCCCCCTGGAGAGTGCCTTCTCTTTCTCTTTCTCTGTTTTTCTCCCTCATGGACATGTATGCATCCTCTGGCATTAAAAAATAAAAATAATAAATAATAAATTAAAAAATAAGAAAAATAAAGTGCTCTAAGACATCGTACATTAGACAGACTCTATTCAGCATTTCTAGAACTAATGGTATAATCTAGCTTCTAGAGGTTGAGTAATGTGGAGGCAGAGAAATGGGGCTTGGGATAACTAATGAAAATTTTTCATATGATGAAAAATATTGAATCAAAAAGACTTCAACCTAATCTTGTCCATAAGTAAGCTAAAATTGTATATTTATTTGAATGAAAATTCCAAACACTAAGGACTTTATTGACAAAACTAAAATATAGTTCAGGTTGAATAATGACCTTCCAAAGATGTCCAGGTCACAATTACTGAAACCTGTGAATATTTCATGTGGCTAAACGATTTTACAGAGATGATTAAGGATCTCGAATGCAGAAATGATATTGGATTTTCGTAGTGGGCCCAACTTAATTACACAGAGCCTTATAAAAAAATAGGTAAGAGGATCAGTTTGAGAAGAAGGTGTGGCAACGGTATGAGAACAGAGCTTGGAGTGATTTAGGGCCACTGCTAGGGAATACCAGCAGCCTCTAGAAGCTGGAAAAGGCAAGGAATGAGCCTCCCAAGGGAACTCAGCTTTGCAGACAGGTTTTAGTTTGAAAAAAAACAAAAACAAAAAAACCTGATTTTAGACGTCTGACTTTCAGATCTGTGAGATTACAAGTTTTTATTTGTCTAAGCCACTGAGTTTGTGATTATTTGTTACAGCAGCAATAGGAACTAACACAATCTGCATCAGAAATTTAGTTTCCACTATTCCTCTATTCCTGTAGGGCTGTTAAGTGTACCAGGTGTTTGGACTTGAAAGAAGAGAAGAGGTCTGCACACCGTGTGAGGTTACATTTAGTTTCTATCCATTCTCAAATGGTCAAATAAGAGTCCTCTGCAGCAACACATAAATTCTGCACAGCACACGTGCACATTCACACATACACACATGCTTACCTACACCTGTATCTAAGAGGAAAAAGTTACAAGAAAGTGTATTGTCAGAAAGAAATATCTGAGACCAATTAAATTTAGCACAGTTCAAGTGAGCAAGACTAAGCTTCTAGAACTGGGCAGCTTTTCTGACCTGATTTGGTTCAGAATGCGCAGTCACAACACATGTGCAGCCTAGATTTATAACCAAAGAAAAGGAACCAAGAAAGTAATACGAAAAACAAACCCAATTGGCTACAGATGGCATTTGCTTTAGATAGTCATAATTTAGCAGCTTTCAGCCTCTGATTGGCTGAGTGAGGGGTTGAGTGTCACGATTGGCTGAGGCTACAGTTGCTAGGTTACTAGAGCATACTCTTAAATTAGGTTACCACATGCTTGCACATCAAGCTAGGTTACAGTTCAGTGTAAGTGGAGACTTCTTTGGGCCAATTTTATCACCCAAGTATAGGGGCCTGCTTGCGCCACTTTAGTTCAGTTTAACAGTGTCTAGCGGGCAGATACTGAAAAGATGCTTGGTTGAGGAAGACACAGCAGTTACTTTCTTAAAGTTTAAATCAAAACCCTATTCATTTATATTGTTAGTTTCACATATATCCTGTCAGAAATAACCAGTCCTCATCTACAGCCTTTAAAAAATGTCTGGTTCCCACACATATTTTAAATTTTATTTTGCTGGTTGAGCAGTTTTATTGGTATCATTTAAAGCATCATATAAAACCTCAGGCCCTCAGACATCTTAGGACAATGATTGTCACTCATTATCTCTGAACCAGGTGAACAACTTTCATACAAGTGAAAGATGGGACAGGGAAGAGCAGAGAAGCAGAGAGGCACAGTTTTGTCTAATATGGAGAAATTCTGCTCCGAGCAGGACCTAAGTGGGTCTGGTCACCTCTTGTAGTTCACGATCACTGATTGGTTGTAAAGCAGACATAAGAGCCAGGAAGGGACTGAAGGAGAGCTGCCCCAACCTTCTCCAAAAGATACCTGTTGATAGCCCGAGTTTAAAGTAAGGAGTCACTCTCTGATTAAAGCAGGAGATTAGGAGTTGCTGGTAGCTGCACCCTGAGCTTGTCCTGTGTTCTAGGAAGTCAGGAATCTGTAGATGGGTGCATAGGTCACAGATGGCTTTCTTAAGTTGCCAGAACTTAGTGGTCCAGTAGACATGATTTCTTCTAGTCCAAATTTAGATTTGTTTCACAACCTCTTTGCATTAACACTAGTTTACAGGACAAGAGAGAACTGCAGACATGTTCCTAGGGCTCTTCCAGATGTGGTGCAGAGATGGGAGATGGCACTCTCGTCCTTAGAGTAGATTTGCTTTGGATTTCTAGAGAGGCCTTCACGCTGTGTCTCTGTGGTTGATCATAGTTTCCACTGACTGTGCCCTGTGTCATTTGGGGTAACTTTGACTTGTATTTTCACTCAGTGTGAGGAGAAGATCATACGAGAAAATTGGAGTAGTTTCTGGAAAAAAGAAGTAAATGTTTAGAAGAGTGCTGTGCATTCTTCCTATCAAAGTGTTTGTTGAACATGTTTTTATTATCCATTCATCTTGGGGAAACCACAGTAGCTTCCTGAGTCTACAGAGGTATGACCTGTATCTCTTTCTTCCTCTTGGAATTTTGGGCACGTATGCACACATTACTGGTGTGTTTTTCAAGTTGCTGGGTCTGAAACTTGGACTGCACAATCAGCCGTGTGGGATCCAGCTACCTTAACCTTCGTGCCATCTGGTGGCCCCTCTCTTTTGTGTTGTATGTGTATTTGATTCACATACACATTTAAAATGTGTTTTAATGTGTATCAAAAAGTTTTAAAAGTGTGTATCAAAATAGTCACTTGATATGCCTTAATGCTTTTGTACCTTGCCTGTTATTTATGGGCTTCAAATGCAAATTCATGAGTTCACTATTTTGTTGCAGAAACTCCCATGTCTTTGGAGAAATGGGCTGGCACGTGACCTCTCTTGGTGTGAGATCAGTTTGACCACTTTGAGAACCACTTTATTTTCACCTTCATGTTTTCTGTGGGAAAAATGCATAGTCAGCATGCTGGAGCTGTTCATTTTAAGGAGGTGTACTTTTGTGTTTTCAAAAGAAAAATCATTAAAAAAGGAAAACTAGATTCCTCTGAATCTCTTTCTTAGATAAGCAAATGATCTTTAAAAAAACCTCTACAATATCATTGTAACAAAACTACTTTTTAACTCATCTTTAAGGCTATTTTTTATGCTTTTGATCAATTCAGGACTGAAACACAGGGGCTAGCAGGTGACATAGTGGTTAAGGTGCTGGACTCCCACATAGCTGACTGTGGTTCAAATCTCAGACCTAGAGGCTTACTTTCTCACTTTCTCTCTCTTTCTCTCCCTCTCTGTTTCTGTGGTGAGCACATCTGTCATATTGCAAGTTAAAAACAAACAAACAAAACCCTAATAATTGTAAAATTAAATAAATAATTGTTAAAAAAATAACTAAAATGTAAGTAACACATTTTCGTTATAACCTATTGAAGTAATAGAATTGAATGATTAAGTAATTGTAAATGCCCCTGGTTTAGTAGATACATATATACATGCATGTTGATGAATAACATAATGTGTTGAAAGCCAATGAAAAGCTGCAGAAACCTGTAATTTTTACACCATTATTTCAGATCACCCTCATAAGTGTTACCGAGTTTTCAGTTTCCTTAAAAACAAACAAACAAATACAAACTTCTGCTTCTTTCCATCAGCCATTATTGCTGTGTTAACTCCCATTGCATGGGGATGCCAGACTTAAATCAAGTGTGTCAACACATCGTGATAATTAATGACATAAGAAGGATTTACGCCATTGTGTACCACAGTCAAATCATTTTGTCCCAGGAAGAGATGGTGGTGTCTCAGAAAATCCTGTTGGAGTATTAAATAGGAAACCATTTCAGAGTTGTTATCTGACATTTGGCATTTGGGACTTTGACCTCAGGCTATGGCCATACCTTCTTATAAATATTATCGTGAGGCTGCTGTTCAGTTTAGAATGATCACTGGTCTCTCCTCCGTACTGCTGAATTCACTGACTAACAGTGCATCTGAGATCTTGATACTGATGATTAACTCTTATTTGAAATATGGGCATAACAGGACATATATCCTGGGTTTCCTAGGAAAATTAAATCATAAACTGTAGTTATTAAGAAATAAACTTTGATCATCTGTCTGCTCCTTTCATGAATTTTGCTATATCCTTGTACCATGTATATTATGCTTATTCACTAAACATTTTTCTTTAAATTAACTTAGACAACAAACTAAAATAAATGTATTTTTAAAGAAAAAGACTCTTTTTTCCCATGGCCTAGTGGTGTAAAATGCAAATATAGTAATTTTTGCATTAATTTTTTTTTCTTTGACTATAGGGCACATGCCCTCACTAGAGACAGACAGAGATAGAGGGAAAGTCAGAAATCGCCCCTCCTGGGAAGGGGATGTTCACACCATAATCTCTTCTCCATTTTGCTCTCAGGATTTTGAGCACATATGCACGTGCCCCTGACGTATTTTTCAAGCTGCCAGGTCTGGGACTTGAACCTTGTAGTCAGCCATGTGGGATCCAGCCACCTTAACCACCATGCTACCCACTGACCCTATATATTTTTTTAACACAGCTTTTAACTCCTTTCTGTTCACTCTTTAAGACCTTCATTATGAATGTACATTGGGCTCTGCTTTCGTTGTATTGTTCCTTAAGATTCAAAATGGCTTTAAGCAGAAGTGTTTCTGTCCCCAAGATTGGATATTTTTTCACTGCATTTTCTTCAAGTATTTCTGACAGGTGGAGACATGCCCAACTGTGGTTTTTTGTGTGGATGTTCTTTAAAATGAGTTCTTGATGATCTGATGGAAAAATTTCCTGGGAAGCTTTATGCTTTGAGTGTTGGGAAAGAGCAGTCACCAGATGTAGCTTTAGTCGCCTTTTGCTTTTTCTATCTGAACCCCTGTGTAAGATAACTCTTGTAGTTATGGTTTGCTAACAACTTGACTAGCTCCTTTACGACCTGCTTCTGAAGTAATTAAACATTGTTTTTTGGAAATGTAAACACAGGGCTTAGAATTATGATGCGGTAATACATTTGGCAGAGGAACTGTGTATTGGAAAAAGAAAAATATCCTGGAGTGGGTTTCGGTTTTACAGATAAGGAAAATGGCTTCATTTAGTGAACTGGAACAATACAAGACCCTATGCCCTGATGCCAGTACTTTCTCTTCCCAGACGAGTTTGCCTGGGCACAAGACCAACTTCTAAAATAAAGCTTGAAAGTAAGGGGCAAAAAAAACAGAAACAGAGCTCAGTGAACTAGATTTTTATGCTACAGCACCATAAAAATAATTTATTTTCTATCAAAAGAAGCTTAAACAGATCCATTGTCTGGTAGATGACTTTTCCTCTGCCCTTAGCCTGACAGCATTTCATCCCAATCCTTGGTTGTAAGCCTGACAGTGGGAATCACAACTCTGTGAGAGACACATTCTGAGTGGCTGTGGAAGCTGATGTTTATCGGTTATTTATTGAGTTTCTAAAACTGAAAGCAGAAGTGCGATGTCTTGAGTCGCTTACTTCCAGATTTTTTTCTACAGAACTTTAAATAGCATTGTATTGAAATACAAGCATGAGCCATCATCTGTGTAACACACACCAAAACAAATCTTTTATTTCTGTATGAAGGTAATTGATCAGCAGCATTTTTTCTGTGCGTCTTTTTTTTAAAGAATTATTTTATTTCATTTATTATCATCATTATTATTTTTTTAATATTACCAGAGAGAGACAGAGAAAGAAAGGGAAAATAGGAAAGCAAGCCTCCAGGTCCGGGACTCGAACCCTGTTTGGCCATGTGGGAGTCCAGTGCCTTAACCACTACACCATCTGCTGGCCCTTTTCTATGTATCTTTTAGGGATAACAGAACATAGTACTCAAAATGTTAGGCAGGGGCCAGAGGGTGGCTCAATGGTAGCACAGCTGGACCCTCATTGAAAAGGTCCTGGATTCATATCCTGGTGCTTCCTAAGCACAGTGACACACACACGACTGTGATCTAGGTCAGCTGAGACTGATGGTGGAGAGTGGTGTGGAACCCCTGTTGGTGGTACCTGTTTGTCTTTCCCTCTTTCTCTCTCTGTCTCACCATGATGAGAAAAAATAATAATGAAGAAGAAGAATACAGAAGAAGAAAACAAAACTGTGGGACAGTCTGGGTCAGGTGAAGAGCTCTCCAGGTGGTCTTTTAACCGTCTGAAGATGGGATTTGGATTGTTTATTTTTGGATGCTTTGGCTTAGAATAGGCAGGGAGCCAGCCCTTAATTTCAGGCAGAGGAGTGTGGTGAGTTAGACATGACTTTGGACCAGAAGCCAGGAGGACTTGGTTCTCAGCCCAGACCAGTGACTGACTAGCTGTGTGGGCGAGTCACTTCATTTTTCTAAGTCTCCCTTCTTCCTTTTTTAAAATAAAGATATTGGATAATATGTGTGGTCTCTTTCAACACTGTTTTTGTGAGCTGGAGCCTGAATATCTGAAGTAGGTACTCATAGAGGATCATCTGTGTGATATATTAACTATTTGCTACCCAAGGAGGCCAGGAAGCGATGAGTAACCCAGAGCAAGGTTCTCTAGGGTGAATCACAGCTTCTCATACTTTACCTGAAGATTTTTTCTCTTTTTCGCTTTTTTTTTGTTTGTTTGTTTGTTTTTGTTTTGCTATGTCAGAGGGCACTTGCATGCGTGAGGGGGCACAGAGAGGAGAGGAAGTCCCCCCAATTGGGACCTGGTCACACTGCAGTCCTTTTCCCTCCATTTCTCCATCCCATCAAGATCTTGGGTACACTCCCAGCATGTTTTTCAAGCCAAAGGCCAGGACTCAGAGTCTCATCTGCCATGTGGGATCTGGCTTCCTCTGCGTAGCACCTGGCCACTGTGTTATGGAGCCAGACCTCCTTTGCTTTTAAAAAAGTCTCATCCAAGATAGGCCCCAGGCACTTAACTTTTTCCTCATGATTGAATATAATTTCCTCATTTTGCTTTTGTTTGTTCGTTTATTCTTTCCTTCAGCAAACATTTTTGAGCGTCTGCAATATACCAGGCATTACCAGATACTTGGATACAAAGATAAGTAAGACATAGCCCATATTTTTGTTGTTGTTGTTTATTTAATTTTATTTATTATTATTTTTAATTTGCTATAGGGTATATGCACTCATGAGAGAATGAGAAAGGGAGAGAAAGCAAGCCTGCAGGTCTGGCTCAAACTGCAGTCAGACATGTGAGAGTCCAGTGCCTTAGCTGCCACGCCACCTGATGACCCTAATAGCCCCTATCTTTAAGAAGCTTTACACCCTGAAAGTGATTCCTTCAGTATATTACATGTGTTCATATATATGAAAGTATAGCTACTTTGATTTTAAGTAATCCTTGTTGTATTTGTGTAATGTCTACACTGAATTTTACTTTAGTATTTTCCCCTCAGTGGTGGTTGCAAAAAAAAGAGAAAGTGGGACCAGCAGATGATGTAATGGTTCCATCACTGGACTACCATGTAGTCAACCATGGTTCGAGTCCTGGACCCTGCAGCTTAAACTCATGCTGGACGTGTGTGCGTGCATGCCCAAAATCCCGAGAGGAGAATGGAGGAGAAGGAATTGCAATGTGGCCATCCTCCTGTAGGGTGATTTCTCCCTTTCTGTCTCTGTCTCTCCAGTTAGTGCACATACTCTATAACAAAATCTCCTTAAAAAAAAAATAAGTAAAAGGGAAAGAAATGCATTAGATTAATTTGCCATGGAGACAAAGTTGGGAGATTGGACATTACCCTACCATCTATCCTCCTCTAAAGACTCTCAGTGGGCATTTCTTTAAGCCCGAAGTTTAACATAAAACAACCTTGTGTACTCTGAGAAACTTACATGTTTGGTTTTTCCTTATAGCTGTGAGTTTTCTAACTAGTCATATTTTTCTTTTCAATTTGCCCATGGGGAAGCTCAGGCTGGAATTGTTTTAGGAGCCACTGAGACCCTTACTGCCTCTCTTTCTCCAAGTGTTTTCCCTGTGTGAGAATCTCTTGTGAAATGAAGAGAGATTTCACCTAAGGCAAATATTTTTCTTCGGTGAAATACAGCCATTCCTTACGTAACAACCTACCTATTTAACAACCAGTCAGACTTAGACCAGTTTCCCAGGACAGGAAATCCCTGTTTCCCGGTCTGTCTTATTCTCAAAGTCAGTTAGTAGTCACTACATGGAGTGTTTCCAGTCAAGCAAACCTACCTACTTTCCTTATAAACTTGTACTTTATTGTGCACCCATAATACTGTACTTAGAATAAATAAAAACAATTATAATATTGTGTCGTGGTGTGTCTTGCCACTTTCTGGTACCTATGTAATGTATACTTTTTGTGTGAATAGAACTGCGTTACTCTAACTTGGTATAGTGTGACATAACCTATGGTGCCACCACACACCACAAGACATCTGCCTTGAAGCTCAGGCTTATTAGTCAACTCACTTTAGGAACTGAACTGCGTTGTTCAGTGAGGTGAGCCTGTGATGACCACGGTAAGGAAGCTTCTTCACAGGTTCCAAATATATATATTTTAAAGTTCTGCTGGATTTTTTTTACCTTTAGACTAAACTTGATGCCTTTAAATTTGTCTAAAGTTCCTATTTAAAAACAACATTTTTGTGACTTCTTTTAGTTTAAGAAGTTAAGTTTTAAGCAGCCACCAAGTATTTTCAGGAAATCCATTAAGGAATGAATGATTCAGCAGAACAGAATCAAGGTAAGGAACCAAGCTTGTAGGACAGAGGCAAAGAGGTGGTAACAGATGCATCAAGAGAATATACTGGCAAAGAAATCACTCTCAGGGTAATTTTATTTTTAGAAAAAAATTCATACACAAAGCTTGGTGTTTGAAGTCAGAGAATAGGAAAGTGCACATTTGGATGAAGAGGCTGTTGGATTTGCATGACTTTTGCTACTATTTTTTTCTTTGGAAGATAGAGTAAATTGTGAGCTTTGTAGATTTCATATGTTGAGGATTTTAGCTAAAATAGATTCTTATGTTGAAGTGTTTCCCCAATTCTCCACCCACGTAGCCAGTCCTTGTG